CCCCCGGAATTACAGTAGTAACACTATTTGGGTGGTAAAAAGCAACAAATATTAGAAAGTAACAAATCTTGAATGTTCAGAGCTGAGATCATGGGCTTAGGAGTATTTGCTTCCAACTCAATGATATTTGAGCAAAGACTTGAGGTACGTGGAAATCCAGGGAAGAGTATTCCGGGAAAAGGGGCAGACTAGAGACCCTCGGTGGGGACCACACCCACCACGGTGGGGCAGGAGGAACTCGAGGTCTGGGAAAGGCAGGCCCTGCTTCCCGACCCGCTTCCGCCTACCGTCCTACCCTCTTCAGGACCTTGGCACCTGCTGAGGAGGCAGAGCTTTACCTCTGCCCATCTCAGGTCTACAGCGAGGACGCTTTAAGGAAAACAAAGGTTAACAAGAGAAAACAGCTCATTAACGGGAGCAGAGCACATCACGAAGGAGAAACCTAAACAGAGTAACTCGAAATGGCGAGTTAGAATTCCAGCTCATGTAGCATCTTCAGAAAAAATAATTCCTTTGTAGAGACATGACAGGACTAACGGAAGCAGTGTTAGGCTTCCAAGGGTGGAAAACTCTGGAAAAGTAAATCTTTGAGAGGAAACTAATGGAGTTAGATTTGTTGGCAGATCCCTCTGGTGCCGTAAGAGTCTATCTCCAGTAAAAGAATTTATTTCCTGCCTTTAGGCAGAAAAAGGCGGAAGGTAGAAAAAACTTTTCCTGCCTTTATTGCTCACTTGCCTTCAGCTCAAAATGGTTTTTATGTCAAAGAGGCATATTTTAGGGTGACATTCTGGTTTTCTTCAGACTCTAGAATAAAATTTTGTCCGAGGTCTCTTGCCACCATGCGACTAAGTACAGGTGAGACTGGGCCACCCATGTCACATGAGCTGAGGCAGAAAGCACAGGCCATGCCAGTGCAAAATTGTCTTTCCTGCCATGATCGCTGTCGAGACCCTTCTCAGGGACCCTAGGCCCACAGCAGGGTCTTGGCCAGTCTCCCTCCACAGCATGGAGCAGTTTATCTGAGCAATTTGAAGCCAGGATGTAGGCAGGTAAGTGCAGACATTCGGGAGTGGGACAGCAAAGGCTGACCTACCTGGAACACAGCTAGAGAGGACACTGAGGCAGCACACAGAGATGGAGCAAGAGCCTAAGAAAGGGGGAACCGAGTGCTGGGCTGAGGCCCTGGAGCGAAAATTGATCCCAGGCAAAATTTTGTCTCAGAGTAGCAGTAATATAGTGGCTCCTAGGAAGGTGGGCGAGTGGCCTTGGTGTGGGTCTTTCATCTCAGTCATTACATCCATCACCATCGGGGAAGGGCCTAAGGACAATAATTTTTCACTGTTCTTTACTTCCTCTACAGTTTGGGAATGGAGTGGGAGTATGTTACTTAGGTGTTTATAGTCTGAAACACAACTGTTCTGAAACTTGAGCATGCATAAAAATTATCACATTAAAGATTCAAAATGTTGATTTCTGGGCACCACTTCCACCATCTGCACTGACAGCAACTACTTTAGGGAATCCTGACTCATGTATTATATCGAAAACCACTGCTTATAACAACGGTGCTCATATCAATGTTCGGTGTTTTTCTTTCTCTTATTATTTTAGAAACTCACCCAGCCCATAAGTCTCTGATGCCTCAGAGAGTACATTTCCAGTCCCGAAATTTTCACAACATTTTGCACTGGCAGCCTGGGAGGGCTTGTGCCAGCAACAGCTGCATTTACTTTGTGCAATATAAAATGTAAGTAATTTGAGCTTCCTCTGGCTGATAGACATGGTCACTGAGAGAACATGTTCTAGAATGCAATAGAGCGTTAGGATCTGAGCTTGTTTTAAGTTTCTTTCTTTCTTTTCTTTTAAGTTACTATAATAGAAAATTTTTATTTTATTTTTCATTACAATTTACTTATTTATCCCAATAATTTTTTGTCCAAATAAATTGTTATTCATATATATGACATATGTAGACAAGATTTATCAGGCCAGTAATATGTTATCGTTGCTCCTCACCCAAGGATATGTTTTCACTGATTTTAGAGAGAGGAAGAGAGAGAGAGAAACATGGATCAGTTGCCTCCTATATGTGCCCCAACCAGGGATTGAACCCGAAACCTAGGTATGTGCCCTGATGGGGAACTGAACCCACCACCTTTTGTTTGCTCTAAATGTATTCCGTTTCAGAAAGGTNGGGGAATTGAACCCACCACCTTTTGTTTGCTCTAAATGTATTCCGTTTCAGAAAGGTTGAGAAAAAGCAGAGGTAGGGACAGGGTTGTCTTGTCTCCCCTGAAGGCTGCCTGGTGACATAAAACGCATGATGATGTACAGTCTGTCGGGGACATAAGTCATCCCTTGAAAACCCAGCACAAGATCTTACAGCTCAGCCTTTGGCATCACAACAGAGTCCAGCTTAATGCGTATTTGTCAAGTGAGTGTTGGAGCCAACTTGCTTAGCATATTGTAGGCACTTAACTAAGCTGACACTTTTGATACTTGAAAAAGAAGTTGTGGGACACATGGTCAGTGTGTAAAATATATTTTTAACTTAAAAGTCGTTTTTTAAGAGTGTGTTTTACTATTTAGAAAATCCATTTCAAAAATTAATGACTCCTGTAAGCATGAGCACAAACTGGAACGTGCCGCTGCGTGTTCCTCTCATGTAATCTTCAAGCTAGTTCTGCGGGATCGTTGCCAAAACTCAGATACAATCAACTCCTTTCCTGGACTGAGGCCTGGAAACAGAGGTTCCTGATTTGCAAATGTCAGGTTTTCCCACTCATACATTTCCTGGAGGGGGGTTGAGGCTCTTCCTTCTCTTACATAGTTTGCGGTGCTGGCTGAGCACGAGATAGGAGCTATTATGTTTTAATTTTCAAGGTTTTTCATTAGAAATTCAGAAAATCAAATGAAGCTATGGACCAAAATACTGTAACAATTTTTCTTCCATAAACTCATCATGTCTCTCCAGCATGCAGTAGGCCCAAGGTCTGATTTTTCCATTAATAAACCTCTCACTAACTTCAGAAGGAATGTTTTTAGAAGTTTATCAGTCTTTAACTGCTGCTGCTTTTCTTACATTTGGGTAAAGTTTATAGATCTTTACTATAAAGATTTCTCCATTCCAAAAATAGATTTGTGCATAGCTGGAGATGCTTCCAGCTGTAGGAAGCTGGGATTGGTTTTCTTCCTGTCCTCCTACCCCCTTGGGTAGTATAAATAGGTCCAAAGTGGGCCTATTTGTGGTCAGCATAAAACGTGGGTTAGAAGTTGTTTTACCATGAAGGTTAAATTTTAGGGAACATGGAAGAATTTCATATTTGTAACACCTTTTCTTAAAAAGGGCTCCTAAACTTGGATAAAATTCAGACTACCTGGATCTATTCTTAGCTATGGGTATTTTCAACAGCACAATGCAGATTTATATTTTTGAAATCTTTCACTTTAGTTCTATCCAGTTCACATGGGATATGACAAAAAAATAAGGTATTACATTAAAAGAGAGGCCAGTCATTACAGTTAAATTCAGCTAGCAAGGACAATGTCTCATCAATAATGTCTCTGTTTCCACCATTGTCTTATTGCATTTTCTCTGATTTGTGACTGGTAAGGAAGTGAGCATTAATCTTCCCTTTTGCTGTTACACCATCCCCTAGTCTCAAGATGAATCAACCTATCTGCCTCTGCCTCACTACCTATTTTTTATTTTTATGGGTACCTCTCCCTCTCTTCCAGCTCCTTATTAAAGGCCTCCTTATATAGTCCTCACTGCAACCCCCACTCAACTTCTAATAAAGACCATCACCTGAGATCAAAAGCAGTAGCAACTTGCCCGGCCGGGCGTGGCTTAGTGATTGAGCATCGACCTAGGATCCAGGCGATTGGGGTTCGAATCCCGGTCAGGGCACATGCCCGGGTTGCGGGCTTGATCCCCGGTGGGGGGTGGTGGTGCAGGAGGCAGCCGATCAATGACTCTCTCATCATTGATGTTTCCATCTCTCTCTCCCTCTCCCTTCCTCTATCTGAAAGATACATTAAAAAAAAAAAAAAGTAGCAACTTCTCAGAATCAGCCGCATTACTCAACAGCAAGCTGATGAGAAGTGAAGGAAACCACAGAGTTGAAACCTCAGAAGCATAAAGGATGTGAAGAGCTGGTTGTCAAAAATGGAAGTTGGTCCGTAGACCAGAAGAAAAACTTCACTAAATATTTAAAAACAAACAAACCCTATGCTAGTGATATAGAAGGTGTCAGGTTTGAGTTTATCTTTCAACAAGAGAGCCATTTGGTTAACAAGAAGAAATCTTTCTAAGAATAGTTAAGAGTAGCCACCAGCTTTCACAGTAGAATTGATATTGGAGGGCAATTTTCAACCAGCCTAAAAATTTAATAGACTGATAAGACTGCAGACTCCTCCAATGGAAAGAAGAAACTCAAATATTTGTCTTTTCCCTTCTATAGGTACGGACAGAAACAGTGGAAAAATAAAGAGGACTGTTGGGGTATTCAAGAATTCTTTTGTGACCTTACCGATGAAACCTCAGATGTACAGGAGGCTTATTACGGAAGGGTGAGGACCGGCGTGGCTGGGACCCACTCAAGCTGGACCATGACACAGCGGTTCACTCCCTGGTGGGAAAGTGAGTTCCATGGAGTTTCTTTGCATTTGCTTTTCCTGCCCTTGAATAGCCCTCATAGAGCGAGGCTGTTTGCGAGGCTTTGTGCTTTGCGGAGGTCCACACCAACATCTCACTTGATCTGATACTCAGGACAACGCTAGAAGATGGTTGTCACCATCCTTACTTCCCAGGAAATCAAGGCACAGAAGCTTCAGTAGTGGCCCAGGTCTCACAGCCTAAATTACTGACACCAGGATTCAAATTCTGCTGCCTCTGACTACAAAGCCGACACTCTATCCCTCTGCCAGATTGTTACCTCCTAGGTAACAAAAGGAGGTTTAGACAGCAGAAAGGAGTTGTATCGCCCTAGGCCCTTCCTAAGCATGGAGGTCAAGTTCCTGAAAATACTCATTAGAAGAATTTTCTTTTGAGGAAAGTACGACTTTTAGCTACCTCCCCAAAGGGGAGACCAAAAGTTCGCTCTCGTATCCCTATCGCCATAACGTATGGTCTTTTCCTAATTCAGTGATAATCCCATAATAATAATAATAATATAATCAAAGATGTAAATTATAAAATAAATCATTACCAACAGGCCTTATACAAAAGAGCAGACAAAGAGAAAGAAAAAAGTGTTTAATGTACATGTATAAAACATACATAACAAGAAACAAAACAAGAAAGAAAATGTGGTACTTATTGTAGTCCTCATAATTGCAACCAGTCACGAAGCTGTAGTTAATATTTATAACTTCTTCTCTCATTATTAACTCAATGTTCACTTTCTTTCCTGTCAGCACCTCAACTCTTCAGTCTTGAGGAGTGTGAGTCCTTTTGGTCTTTCCTGTGTAAGCTTGACATAATCTTACATTAATTTTTATCACAGAATAGAGGATTCTAAGAGGCACCTCACAAGAGACCAAGCATACTTCTCCTCGACCCCACTGTATCTCTAGCATCTCTATTTCCCTGGGTAATGAGAACCAATCATCCTAGACAACAGAAGGACCTCATATTCTCCTTGTTGGTTAAATGGCACCAAGAGCTTCAACTAGTTAGGAGGCAGCCTTAACTTTCAGATCTTTGAAACCATTTTGTTATAACCCAGAAGGATTAAGGGTCAAGTGTACCGGAAACAATTGTTTTGTGAGTCATTCACTATGAGAATTGCCTCCATGACTCCCTCCCACATCTTGTATCACAAACCAGTGAATTCTTTGGATGGAAGAATATATTGGTCACAAGATTAGAGCATATACCAGTTCACAGACAACTTCCCAAGGTGCTGTCGCCCAAACTGAATTTTCAACTATCCACTTTACTTTCCTATAAGCCATGGGCTGCTGAGATAGGATATATGGTAAGACTTCACTTTTTCCACATTAACTTAGTCTTCTGTCATAAGCAAAGTATCGTGGGGTACCATGCTCAGGAATAAGGCATTCATTACATCCATGGAGGGGGGTGGTCAGGGGGACTGCTGATAAAAGCACTGAAGCAGGGAAGAGAAATCTGCAATCAGAAGTGTCTACTGCAGTGTTACTTGTCCCCTCCCCGTTGAAAGGAATCAAAATATACCAAATGACCTATATACCAGAGTTGGTTCATCATACTGGAAAACTGGACACTCAGAAGTGTCATCCAGCCTTGGCAAGAGGAAGTCCATGTTGTTGAGTCTATATATAGCCTCCATCCATTTCACCCAACCATTTTGTTCATAAGCCTATCAAGCAAGTATGGGACACTGGAGAAATAGGCCTTCACTGCTCTCATCGAGATTTTTTAAAACACCCCTTATAATTACCCATATAATGTGTACAATTCAATTTGTTTAGTATATTCACAGGTACATACATCACTCACACTCAATTTTAGAACATTTCATTATCTCAAAAAGAAACTCCGTACACATTGGCTATCGCCCTCGTCTTCCTTTACCGCTCTAGCCTTTCAGCCCTAGGCAACCACTAATCTACTTTCTGTCTCTATAAAGTTCCCTGTTCTTTTATTTTTTTTTTAAATCCTCACCCGAGGATATTTTTTCCATTGCTTTTCAGAGAGCATAAAAGGGGGGGTGGGAGAGAGAGAGAGAGAGAGAGAAACATAGATTCATTGCCTCCTGCATGAGCCTGGGCCTGGTCTGGTGATCAAGCCTGCAACNAGGAGAGAAAGAAAGAGAGAGAGAGAGAGAGAGAGAGAGAGAGAGAGAGAGAAACATCGATTCATTGCCTCCTGCATGAGCCTGGGCCTGGTCCGGTGATCAAGCCTGCAACCAAAGTATGTGCCTTTGGCTGGAATTGAACCCNTGGGAGAGAGAGAGAGAGAGAGAGAAACATAGATTCATTGCCTCCTGCATGAGCCTGGGCCTGGTCTGGTGATCAAGCCTGCAACCAAAGTATGTGCCTTTGGCTGGAATTGAACCCAGTACCCTTCAGTCCGCAGTACAGTGCTCTAACCACTAAGTCAAACCGTCCAGGGCAAGTTCCCTGTTCTTGACATTTCATATGAATAGAATCATATAATATGTGGTCTTGGTGACTGGCCTTTTTTATTTATTATAATATGTTCAAAGTTCATCTATGTTGCATCATATTTTAGTACTTCCTTTCTTTTTGTGGCTGAATGACATCCCAGTATATGGATATACCACATTTTGTTTATCCATTCCTCAGTTGAACATCTGAGTTGTTTTCACCTTTTGGCCATTATGAATAGTGCTCCTATAGACTTCCAGGTACAAGTTTTCGTATACACATACATTTTTATTTCTTTGTGGCATATACCTTAGGAATGAAATTGCTGGGTCACATGGTAATTCTATGTTTAATCATTTGAGGTACTGCCAGACTATTTTCCAAAGCAGCTGTACCATTTTACATTCCCATCAGCACTGTATGAGGGTCTGATTTCTCCACATTCTCAGCAACACTTACCTGACATTTTATAATAAAAGAGTCAGGTAAGTGTTGCTGAGAATGTGGAGAATCAAAGCTCAAAAGCTCATGGGATATTTTGAAAATGCACAGCACAAATAAATGTGGTGTGTGTTTCATCCAAGATTCACAGAGGTCTAACAAGCCCAGTGAATGTTTCCTGGTAATAGGGATGCAAAGCAAAGCAACTTGCTCTTCACGTGAGAGGAAATGTCTCAACAAACATCAAAGGAAATTTAGCTCCAACATTCTGCTTCCATGTATCTTACTAAAGTAGCTATAGTGCCTAGGATGTCAGGCACACCAAATGCAGTCAGTATCGTGTGATCAACTTAGTGGGCCAATATGATATCTTGTGAAAGAATCAATGACTCTGTAGATTATATGTGACAAAGAGCCAGGATGACAATGAAAGCCAAGTGAAAGGAAACTGTTCTGATGCTTTTTAATTATTGGACAAAGAAAGGGAAAAAATCATTCTCTAAAGCAGTAACTATATTAAAGGCTGTGTTGATTGGCTCCAAAACAGAGTCACTGTAATGAACAGAAATCACACCACGGTCACCACCGGAGTCAGTACATTTACAATTATCCCTTTTATTATTCAATATTTTTTGGGGGGTGAGGGTATAATTCAAATAAATGAAGGTATAATTCAAATACATCTCACTACTCTGTATCATGCAAGGTGTTTTTGATGCACGCATCTCTACAGTTTTCCCAGGGATACAACAGTACTTTTGATTTTCTATTTTGTTCAAAGGAAGAATTCCATTGGCTTCCATTTGTCCTTTCATCCCTTAATAACTTTCATGCCACAGCTCAGAAAACCAAAATGGAAATTGATTCTGTCAGTTGTTGTGTGTATCTCACTGAATTTGCTTTTATTACCTGCCAGCTGCAAGAGCCCACAGTGCATTCTGAGTCCCCAAGGATTATTATCAACTCAGAATCAGGGTCCATTATTGGCCAAAAGATCTGTACTTACCTTTCTCCAGTTTGCAGTTACCGTCAGGGAAAGATAAAAGAAGATGTATCTTAAAACTTGGCAGCATTATTACCTCACTTGCCTTCCAAATCTCACCCTAATGATCTAACTGGTGCAATGTCCCACTGGAGCCAAGTTAATTGGATCACAGACAAAATGCTAGATGCAATGGAGTATAGAAAAAGGCATATTTAGTTTTCTAAGTCTTCAGCTAGTAGGAACGGAATGAGAATTTAGCAAACCAACCCATGGTATCCAGCACATCGTATCTTGAAATAACTTGCGATTCAAGCCCAATCCACTGCACCAACAATTCTCTATAAAAGAGCAGACTCAGAAAAGCCTTGCCATCAAAGAGAAGAAACAAAGAAGGGTGTATGTTTCAGTTTTGACTCTGTTAGGAATCAAGAATTTCCTAAGTTCAAAAAGGTCTGAGATTCCAACATATTCAACTTTCATGTTGCTGAAACTTGAGGTCATGCCAGGTTACAGTGCCAAAGGACACCTTGTAGAAGCAAAGCCAAAATACATTATTAAACCAGAGTTCAAAAGCAACACTACACAAATATGATCATTTGATCTATGTCCTTGGCACAGTTCAGCAGAGTAACTATGGTCTTTTTAACAAGTGAGACTGGATCAATTGGGAAACAATAAATCTTGGTCTCCTACATCACCCATTAATGGAATCAAGTCTGGCTGGACACCAACAATAAAACTCGGCAACTACAGCCTTTGGGTCCAATTTGACCAGCTTCTGTTTTGTAAATGAAATTTTATCGAGCATAGTCAAAGCCATTCATTTACATTTTTTCTATAACTACTTCATCCACTACAATAGCAAAGTCTTAGAGTTACAACAGAGATGTATATGGGCTACAAAGCCTAAGATATTTATCTGTCCCTTTACAGAAAATGTTTGCTAACTACTATGCTATAATGTAACATGGGAGAATATTTTCATGACTTTGGAGTAGGTAGACCCTCAAAAGTACTAATGATGAAGGAAATAATTATAAATTGGGCTACACTAAAATTACAAACTTCTGTTTTTCAAAATATACCATTAAAATGATGAAAATGCAAACTACAGAGAGAAGATATGTACAATGCACATATTTGACAAAGGGCTATGTCTAGAATGTAAAAAGAACTCTTACAAATCAATAATAAAAAGATGACAAATTTAAAATGGGCAAAAAATTTGACCAGGCTCTTGACAAAAGATGATATCCAAATATGCCATAAACATATGAAATTCCATTAGTCATCAGGAAATATAATCTAAAAACACAAAGAATCATTATATACACTTACCAGAATGGCTAAAAGTAAAAATTTTTGAGATAATGCTAAATGTTAGAAAGAATGCAAAAAACTGGAACTTTCATATAGTGCTGAAGGGAACATAAATTGGTGTATCCACTGTGGAAAACTGGCAATGTCTATACAAGCTAGACATATGTATATAAACTCTATCACCCAGCAAGTCTACTCTTAGTTATATTCCCAACAAAATGCCTATTTCCCAAATGACATGTACAAGAATGTACATAGCAATTTCACTCATAATATTAAAAAACTAAAAACCATCTAAAAGTCTGTGAATAACATAACATACTGTGATATTCACACAATTAAATACCACACAGCAATTAAAAGAACAAACTACTGATACATGCAACACAGTGGATGAATACGTATATTGTGTATTAGTTTACTAGGGCTGCCTTAGCAAAATACCACACACTGGGTGGCTTAAACGACAGAAACTTAGTCTTCTAGTCCTGAAGACTAGAAGTCCAAGATCAAGGTGTCAGCAGGGTTGATTTCTTCTGAGATCTCTCTCCTAGACTTATAGATGGCTGTCTTCTTGCTGTGTCCTCACATGGTCATCCCTCTGTGCTTGCACATGCCCACATCTTCTGACAAGGACACCAGTCATTTTGGATTAGGGCCCATCCATACCATCCATATGACTTCATTTTACCTTAATTACCTCTTTAAAGGCCCCATCCCCAACTACAGTCACAGTTCAAGGTACTAGGGGTTAGGACTTCAAACTATGAATTTGAGAGTAACACAATTCAGTCCATATATATATGGTAAGAGAAGTCAGAACAATTGTGGTTATCTTCTGGGGTTAAGTAATTGGGAGAAACATGAATAGGTTTCTGGGTGTTAGCAATGTCCTATTTCTTAATATGGGTGGTAGCTATATAATTTGTTGACCTGTATCCTCATGATTTAATTTTTTGTCTATATCTATATTATAGGTAAATAAAAAGTTTATTTAAAATAAAAAACTCAAACCAAATCAACATAAAAGGAAGAACCAACTTCTAAACATGTGCTCACAATAAAAGCTCAAGGAAACAAATCAACACAAGCAAGTTTGGAAGCAGCAGGGCTAAGCCATTCAGCACGTCAAGTATTGTAATACTGAAAGCAGATAAAATAAGTTAAATAATATAACAGAGGGAATAAAGATATAATCAAAAAACAAAATTTGAGACTTCATTTTCCAAAACAATCACTGCAGGCTGTGAAAATGATTGATAAATGTACTCTTAAAGCTGAAACAGAATCTATTAGTCTTTATAAATAAAAAATCATCTTCAAAGAAACTTCTCAGATATTTATACTTTAGGTATCAGCAGTTTCTCTTCACGATTTTTGCCAGATCTCTGAATTTAATGATGATTTGTTATTACGCATAATGTATCCATGTGAAATACTACATTTTTAAAAATGACTTATCAAAATTTCCTATTCTTTCTCCAGCAAAAATAGATCCTCCAGTTATGAATATAACCCAAGTTAATGGATCCTTGTTGGTGATTCTCCATGCTCCAAATATACCATATAGAAACCAGAACGGAAAAAATGTATCCATGGAAAATTACTATGAGCTAGTATACCGAGTCTTTATAATTAACAATTCACTAGAAAAGGTAAGTTTAGATGAATAGATGTCTGGTATTTTTTTTCTGTTGTTCATTTGACTAACATTTTAGCCATAAAATGTGTCTTCTCTCTTGCTACTCTATCCCTTCTTATTTTTCCTTATATATATTTTTAGTTCCTTCTCACCTCTACCCTCACTGAAAAGGAAGTCATGCTTGGCATTACCTTCAGAATCTGTGTGTGTGTGTGTGTGTGTGTGTGTTTGCAGTCTCTCAGCTTGTCTCCACTGGATCGTCCCTGCATATCTAAAGACTGGTATTAATAATAGTTCATTCCACTTGTCTTTACAGACTTTCTACACCTTATTTTAAAGTGGCTTTTGAATCAGAGCATTACATATTTGTGCCCATTTGCTATGATATTTTCATTCATTGTCAGCACCTTTATCTAGATTTGGTGGTTAATTGAATCTTCTTTTGGGTGGTGATCTAAGACAGGGTTCCTTAAGTTCTAAGGAAAAGAGCCCCATTCAAACCTGTTCAAGTAGAAAATAGATAAGCAGAGGGGAGGAGTTTAATTAGGAAATAACAAGCAATCTTAGGGACAGCCAGAAGCAAGAAGTAAAGCGCTCGCAGCTTTGCAATGGCTGGGAAGGAGAAATGGAGAAATAAGTCTTCAAGAGCCCCACTCTGCCTCTCTGTGGTCACATGTTGCACATCTACAGCTGTCTCCAAATCTACTCAGTTCTCCTCGCTGCACAGTTCTAATTCTTGAAAAAGAGACTGACCACTGGAACAGTCAACCAGGGGCCCTCATGTACCTACACAGCCACTCGACCTGCCTCTTGATCAGGCCGCGTTCCAGGACTCTGGGGAACGATGTGTCTGGAAGAAGCCCTACCGCCCCTCTACTACTGTGACCACGAACAACTCTCTAATTGTATCAAAAATACAGCAAATCAGTGCGTTACTGAAAACCACTTATCATCTCTTTTCTTTTCCCTTGTGTATAGGAGCAAAAGGTATATGAAGGAGCCCGCAGAGTGGTTGAAATCGAAGCTGTCACGCCTCACACGGGTTACTGCGCGGTGGCCGAAATCTACCAGCCCGTGCTGGGCAGGAGAAGTCAGAGGAGCCAAGAGCGATGCGTGCGAGTTCCTTAACCCGCGCGGCTGCTCACACCGAAAGCTCTCAGAATGGGGTGGCTCATGTTTGAAGGCTCTCACTGGAAACTGTTTCTGTTTTTCCTAAAGCAGTGTTACACTTCTGGGACTTCTTTCTTCATCCATTCTTTCTTCCTTTATATTTCATTTGTAAACTAAATGTAAGCAACATGCACCCCCCCCCCGTGCCCCAAATAACACACTAGAATTTAAAGAAGAGGCAGAGAATAAGGGCTCTATGAAATACAGAGCTTTACTTCTGAATGTAACATCCCTCACAACAATCTCCACTCTTCTAAAAAATTTAAGAACCAAGGAATAGTAGGCATTTAACAAACTGTTGTTAAAGTAATTTTTGACAAATAGCATTACAGACCAGCAACCATGAAGCAATCTTTTTCACTCTTCATTGAGACAATTTGACATAGATATACCAACTTTTATATGAATGGAATTTTTGCATGAATGAATATTTTCCCATATATTTCTTTTACATAAATATATTTTTTCATACATTTATTTTCTATATAAATTATTTCTACTTAATTAACCACTTTTTTAATCTATGTAAATAAGAACAGTATTTGCAAAGAACCTCGTGATCTCTGGATTAATATCTAGATTAAGATTATCCACAACAACATCTAAATACCAAAGGATACCTACTCAATATAATTTCCCTCATTTAGCACATACTCACATTAAGGTTTTCTTTTCTGTTTTTGTTTTGTTTCTTAATATTGCCTTAGAAGAATTTAACCATAGTCTCAAAATCAAGTATAATATATTTCAGCAACAAAGTAAAATAGAAATCTTAACTCCAATTTATACCATACTCACTACTCTACCCTCCCAAGGAAGGGTCTCTGGCCGGTCGCACATTCATAATTTCTATGTACAAGGATCTTATAAATGACAGTTTGACTGGGGACATGGGGAATGGTTGAGTACCAGGTAGAGAATTTGCCTGAAGCTTAAAGCACTCAGTGGGTGATAGGTTTACTTGGGAGAGGGCCTGATGTTAGCAGAGATTGTAGGGCCAGTTAAAGCCCTCCAACAACTTCCTAGAAGTTGCAGTGCCCCCCCCCCAAAGGTGTGTGACCTAAGGCTCGGTGTAATCAACAGAAAGCTGCCTTCTTCTCTTTGGGCTTAGTCTTACATATCTGTTTAAGGCTGTCTTTCTTGTGAGGAGGTATATATTAGAGAACATTTGCACAATTCCTCATGAAAATTGCTTCAAAATGTGGTAAAAATATAGTAAGTACTTCTGGTTATATACAGTTATACATAGTAACAAATGGGTTAAAAATTATTTAGAAGTGCATGGAGGAAGAGAGCAAGAGGCACAAGAGCTGGAGAATTGGTTTCACTGCTTTCCCTTGCGGTCAGAAAAAATTTGAGCATAAATCTAGAAACAAAAAGAAATTACTTTAACCTATGTTTTTGAATTATGCTTTCCCCTCCTTACTATCTTTTTTGCCTTTTGTCCTTTTGAAGGGGAGTTGAGAGTAGTGAGATGGGTGAGCAGTAAGGATTGTGTGTGGCCGACGGCATTTATGTTTATGAAATTCAGCAGTTCTGAAGCCTGATTTAAAATCAGTCACAGCTGCCCAGCCAGGCGTGGCTCAGTGGTGACCTAGGATCCAGGCGTGACCTAGGATCCAGGAGATCACTGTTCAATTCCCCGTCAGGGCACATGCCTGGGTTGCGGGCTCGATCCCCAGTCGGGGCTGTGCAGGGGGCAGCCGATCAATGACTCTCTCATCGTTGATGTTTCTGTCTCTCTCTCTCCCTCTCCCTTCCTCTCTCTGAAATCAATAAAGATATATCTTTTTTAAAAAAATCAGTTACGGTTGCCTCATGAAAGTTCTTAGGTAGCACCAAGTTTGGGGGTTAGATTGTTTTGCTTTGTTTTTGCTTTCATGCTCAGGCAAGTCACTTAGGCACGCGTAGGCAAGAATGAAATACTTTGTAAAAAATAATAATTGTCACATTCTTTATTGTGTTAGGCATATACTGTCATCCTATTTCAATAAATCTTTTAATTTTTTGCTTTGCAATTTGAAATATTTGTTATTTGGCGTATTTAAAAGAAAGGTAAAATTTATAAGCCTCTCAGATGGAATCCTAATTAGACTTCTGAGACCCACCGTAAGTCCCAGCCGGAAGGAACAGTGTTCAGCAGGACTCCAGGCATTCCCTGACTCTGTTCTATGATCGAATGGCAGTTCCACTGTGATAGTGTCTCAGGTCAAAAGCTCTGGGGCCATCTGTCTCCATCTTTTCCCTCATATCATATATTCAACCCACCAATAAATCCTACTGGATCTAGTTACAAAATATAACATTTCTCACAACTACCTTATTACTCCCAGCTGACATCATGTCTCATCTGGATAATAGTTATGGCAACCTTACAGGTATCACCACTCTGCCCTTGCCTCCAATTTAGTCCAAGGAGGGTAGCCAGGGCAGCCCTTTGAGCATAAACTATATCATGACACTCCTGTGCTCCTAGCTTTCCAATGCTCCCCATCTCATAAGGTTAAAAACCCGAGTCTTTATTATGGCCTCCAAGGCCCTGCATGATCAGAATCCTTTTCTCATTATCTCTCAGACTGCATTCCCTAATTCTGGTCCCCTCACTTTGCTCCAGGACACTGACCCCGTTGCTTGGCTCTCAAATACAAATGCTCTGGCCTCTGGGCCTTTGTACCAGCTGCTTCCCGGAAATTTGTGCCCCAAGATATCCTTAGGCTCATTTTAAATTTGATTTAAAATTGCAAACTACCCCCTGCAACTCTCTAGCCCTCATTTTTCTTATTGTTTATCTTCTCATTCTCCATTAGAACGAAAGGCAGGCCTGCCCTTTCTCCCCACAGCTGTATCTTCATTATCTAGAGCAGTGCCTGCACTCAGCAGACACTCAACATTTGTTGTATCGATTAATGAATCAAGAGGTTTGGGAGGGGTGAATGAGGAGGACTGGGTGGGAGGTTTCTCTCATAATTTTGTACAACCTGCTGTCGTATCTTCCTCTGCAGATTAGTGTGGAGATGCAGAGATGGAGATGAGGTCCAACCATGCAGGACAAATACATATTGTTGGACACTGCTCCTATTTGTCCCTGAAAGCAGCCAGCCACCAACCAGCTGCCCAGCTGTCCTATCAGATCTCCCTGCCCTTATGTTCTCTTGTTTTAAAGGTCAACACTTGCCCTTCAATATCTTGAGTGACATTAAAGAAAAACAAAAGTCCTGAAGTTCTAAAAGACAAAATGGACATTTATGAAATGAATTTTAATCAAGGGACTGAAGGGAAATCCATATATACAAAAACCCAGAGGTATTTTGGGAGGGTCTGATAAAAAGTGCTTAAGCTGTGGCATTAGACAGAGGTGGTTCCTGACCTTGACAAATCACCACCTCTCAGGGGCTATCTAATAGAATAGGTGACTACCTTTCACAATATCCATGACGACTTTGTGGGCAAGTCTGAGAGTTAAAGAAATTAGGCCTGTGCAAGTGTAGACCTGGACAGGCTGAAGCCTGGACCTGCTGAGGGACGTGCCTGAAGAAATAACCGTCTCTTCATCCATTCTCATGGCCAGTTCCCGGGACTGGGCTGAGCTTATGTCACTATTTGCTTGTTCCTTGTGGTCAGCCAGAACTCTAGCCAGGCTTCTCAAAAGACAGATGAGAGGGGAACCCAGGGGGGTGTCATATCCCTGTGAAAACGGCAAAGGCCTCTCACCTGGGGGCCTCTTGCTCTGAGCAGCTGGCAGTAGCTACGATCCTATGTCCTTGCAGGGAAGTAAGGCTCTGGGAGTTAATGCCATTCTGGGAGCTGTGTGTTATCCTTCATTGTTTAACCAGCTCCCAAAATTTCCTTATCTTTTGCCACTGAACTTTATACTTTGTGTGTCCTTTGGAATTTTCCCTTTATTCTCATCACTATCATATGGACAATTCCTCACTGTGTGAATGTTGGCACATCTAGAAGCACAATGGAAGTTAGTTTCTTTCTGTAGCCCACTCTGTCAGGCACTATCCAAGCCAAAGCTCACCTGTGGATAGGGCATCCTACTTCCTCATGGTTCCTTTCACTTACCTCAACCTTGTCTTGAGAACACTCTCGAAAATTCTTTCTCATCAATGTGGATATATCTTTCCATATTCTCAATTTCAACCCCTCTCTCCTTTTAAAGAAAATCTGGGGCAGGACTTCTGGACTTGACCAGCAGTGAAGGAGAACAAATAATGCTTAGAAGTAACACTCATTTGGAGGAAGAAACAATTTTTCTAGAATAACTCTTAGCCATGGTGTCAGACTTTAGCAAAGAGGAATGTTTCCAGAACCAATTGCTTGTCAATTCCTTCATCAGCACAACAGCCTCCAAGTTCATTTTGATCTTGTTTTTAATGTTGCAGCTATACCCCAGGGCACAGATCCTGGCCCATCAGTAGTTTTGCAACAGTGGCAAGAATGGAGCTGTGGAGGCAAGGCACTGCGAGTCTGCCAAGACCTCCACGAACTGGAACTACTGCCATTAATGGGTATTCTGATGGTTCAAGTTCATTATTAAAGGTAATAAATCATTTTCTTATAAAACATAGGTAATTAAGATCATTAGTCTTGTTTTTCATAAACCTATAAAAGGAAAAGTGAACTCACCTTGGTCTGGAAAGATAAAAAAACTAATCTACTACTTAAGATCTGGACCTGATCTCTCAGCAGCTTTACCCTAAACGGACACAAATTTCTTCCCTTCCAGCACCTGAATGAGAAAATAGCAGTAACGATAATCTAATAGGAAAACCACCCAAGGATTTCCTTCAGTAGCACAGTGGCTTCCATACACGGACACACTGTAGGTATTAGTGGAAAAACTGAATTACCTACCTTGTGCAGACATGTGTTACGCTTTCAGGCTGCTTCATATTAGAATCCTCGCCTTATGTTTGAGGAATCCCCCAGTTTATGAGATAGTAGCAGGTTCT